CAATACAGAAAATATCAAATGTTTTATTCTTTTTATTGTTTTTTTTTTGTTCTTGTATATTTTTATATACTATCTTTTTATTGCTTCCTCATTTTTATACAAATGAGAAATTTTAACATCTTTTGCAAACCACAAAAAACTGAAAATTTAAATTTCTTATAGAAAAGTTAGACATTTAAGATTAAAAGTCTGAACTGAGAATTTATAACAAGACTGAAGATCCTAATCGTGAAAAAATCAAAATTATAAGTATTGAAAATTTCAAGATTTGAGGCCTCTAAAATCTTAAATAATCTTTTTCAAAATCTTAGTTTGCTACCAAATTTTTAAAAAACTTATAAGATTCCTGAAGTTCCAAGTCCCAATTATGTGTCCTCTAAGTCTTTTAATCTTTCAGAATTTGTCTTTAACATCGTAAAACTCTCGAACTTGAAAAATACTGTAGTTTTAGGAAATAGCATTTGACATTTTGGAACAAAAATTTTTAAACTTTTTGTCTTAAATACAAACAAGGTTTTGTAGGATTTGTGAAATTTTGGGAAAAATCAATAGAGATTTTGTATTACTGTTGTTTTTATTGCTTTTTTAATTTTTTTTAACTTCATATTTTTGTTTTAAATAACGTTTTTTCAATCAAAATTGAGTTTATTTACAATTAATTACTGTTATGCATGGATTTTGATTTGGGATGTATCTTGTTAGAGGTGTGTTGGGCAAACTTTCGTCACTTGTCGGGTTATAACCGTCCCATTAACTAGTCGGTTAGTTAAATTAGCGCAACCAAGAAAATCGGTTAACTCCTTCCCAGCGAAGCGAAAGCTAGATCTCGTTCCGTCATCAAATTGGGAAGAAACAACGTACAGGTTGCTCATTTGCAATGACTGATTGTCCATGTTATTAGTACGGTCGGTTGCGCACCACTGCCTTCTTGAACCTCTTATATGTGATTCTAGTTTCATCTATTGTTAAAGCGTCACTCTTTAAAAAATCCAACTTTTATGAAAAGAAAGAAAAATTCATCCAACATGCGAGTCATTAGAGCGTTTCTCATCACACATTTTGAGTAGTTTTCGAGGGAAATCGGTTGCGTTTCGACGTATCTAATTTAAATATAATATCTCGTATTTTATCCCGATCAGTCAGAGATCCCTTGCGAAAGGGGTGAGTTTCCATATAGCTTAATCACTCAGGCCCCACACCCCCCTTACGTACGTCTAAGCTCCCGATAATCAATAATTATACTGAAATATAAAGAGAAAAGAGCCGGCGAATGCCGATTTGGTCGTGATGGTGCGGCGCTAATGAGAGCGAGAAGGAACAAGAGAGAAGGGGATGGAAAAGGGTTGTTTCGACTTATTCTTGCTGTTTATGTTGTGAATATAACTGAAAAAAAAACCTGAAAAAAATTTCAAGCGATTGATTGGCGGGATATATCTGGCATCTCAAACCGCATTCTATATTTCGGTTTCGGTTCTCAATTTGGTCGCCCCCTTGCCCCTCCACCACCCATCTGGTCTGACAATTAGAGTGATACCAACTAAGTCTGAGCAATATCGATTGATTATTTCCTCTCTCTGTCTAACTAATGATTGACATTTTCGCCTCTTTGTTTCACATACGGAGATTATTCATTTGCACATTTAGTTTATAATACCTCCACTCGGAGATAATGTCTGGAGTGGGTGAGGGATTTTTTTCATTACGCCAGAATTGGGATTATTCTTAATTGGGACAATTAGAGCGATTTCACTACTTGAAAAATTTCACTTTTGGGGGGCTATAATTACCACATAACTGCATAACTTCGATCGGAAATTGAAACTAGAAACTTGAGGCAGACTGCGATTATCTGAAACTGACTGAGCTTCTCGATCTATTTTCGCATTTACACAATTCGTCTTACAAATTTACAAAAAAATTTTCAAAACATGAAATTAAATCGTGTTTTTTTGTTGGATAAATCTAGACAAGGATTCAATTAGCTTAAATCTTCGACTGAATTATTGTAAAATATTACAACCTAGTACACTGAAGTCCACAAAATTGGTTTTATTTGTAAAATAGAAAACCTAGGTATTTTTTTAGGTTCAAAGTTTATTTACAAAAATCTAACGTATACATAAATTGTTTTTCGCAATCTTTCTCAAAATTTTATTAGTTTTGTGTTTTTTTTTTGACTTTTATACGAATTAGAAATTTTTAACATCTTTTGCAAACCACAAAAAGAAAAGAAGAAGAAAAGTTTAATGTCTTATATCTTATGTTGTTAATTTATTTGAAAGATTTTGAAAAACTAATGAGATTTTGGAACTTCCAGGTCCAAATTATGTGTTCTCTAAATCTTTTAATCTTTCAAAATTTCTCTTTAACGCTTAAATATTGCTTTTTTAGATTTTAGAACTCCAAGTAGTTTCTCGAACTTGAAAAATACTGAAGTTTTAGGGAATTATTTTTGAAATTTTTAAATAAAGGTTTTTGACCTAAATATATATGTACTAACAGTTTGTAGGATTTTTTTGTCCAAAATTTAACCCAAAATACTAGATATCGTTTTTATTGTTTTTTTGTTCTTTTATATTTTTATGTATTTTATATTTTTTTTTGTTTTTTTACCCAAATTTTAACATCTTTTGCAAACCACAAAAAAATTGAAAAAAAAGTCTTTCAAAACCTAGTTAAAGCCTAGAACGTGAAATTAACTCATGTTTTTTTGTTGAATAAACCTAAGCAAGTTTCAGTACTAAACCTGAAGGATTCAATTAGTACATCTTCGATTGAATTATTGTAAAATATTACAACCTAGTACATTGAAGTCTGAAAAATTGTTTTAAAATAGAAAACCTAGGTGTTTTTTCAGGTTCCAAGTTGAAGTTTTATTTACAAAAATCTAACGTATACATAAATTGTTTTCTACAATCGTTCTCAAAATTTTATAGTTTTGATTTTTTGAGTCGTTTTTAAAAAATTTTATTCCTTGAGAATCTGTTGTTTTTTTCAATCTTATCGAAACATTTCATTTATGGATTTTTATATTTTTTCTTAAAATTTACTTTTTTTATTACATCTTTAGAATATCTCAAAAGATGAATTTTTTTGCTACTCACATTTTTCTAAGAGAAATTAACACCAATACAAATCCCAACTTAGAAGTTTACAACCAATCAATTTTTCTCCAAAATTGATTTCAAACTTAACTTGGAAAAATTTACCTAAATTATTTTGCAAACGATTTTTTTATTTAATTTTTTTTTTAATTAACTTTTAGCAAAATTTGATTTTTTTAATTTTTTTACCAAGGTTCTTACAGGTTTAAAACTAGTAAAAGTCGAATCCAATTTTTAGGTTTAGTTTTTAAAAGTCTGTTGTTTTTTCTCAATCTGATCATTTCCTTTGTAGATTTTCAGGTTTTTTCTAAAAATTTACTTTTTTTATTAAGTACATCTTTAGAATATCTCAAGTTTTTAAAAAGGGATGAATTTTAAAAGGATGAAATTAACACCAATACAAACCCCAACCTAGTGATTTTTTTTATAGCAAAATTTTATTTTTTTATTTTTTTAGTAGAAGTCGAATCCAATTTTTAGGTTTTATTTCCAGATTTATTCCAGAATAATATTTTCTAATTGATTTTTATATAAAAGTTTATAGTTTTCATTCTACACCCAGTTTTTATGTAAAAAAATAAAAAAATACTTGCTTAGATCTCAAAACATTTTAATTTTTCTAAAGCCTAAACCTGGATCGATTTGAAAACTAGCCAAATCTAAATGTCTTTTAAGAAAATGAAATACATCTTAGAGTTATGTTTTTTTTTTAATTTTATTACAAAACAACAAGAAAAAATCATCGTGGGAGCATGAAACACACCTATTCTTAAGCATAATTCCAAAATATTATTCAATTAGATGGATAATAAAGGAGATAATTAGTGGCAGCTGTTTTTTGAATATTGTCAATTGCAATTCAATGGTGATCAGATCTGGCCTGTCGCAAGGCACTTCTTCTCGTTAAAGCAACTATTGCGTGACCTAAGCTTGTATTATTTTTCGAGCAATGTTATCATCAAATCTCTCACTCCCACGACCGTTATTTTTGTGAAAAAATTCGATTATAATCGTAACCCACGTGTGCCTCCGGCCTCATCTTCGATTCAAAGTGAGTCAGTTATTTGCTTCATCGTCGCCATTTTATTTATTTAATAGACGCCATTCGACGTGTTATCGCTGTTATCACCACCTTATCGGATTAATTCAAAATTGTAAATTTTGATTCAGTAGATTTATTGTTATTATTTTTCAGGTTACTTCAATATTTACAAATTCTTATTTTTTCGAGTAACAATATTTTATTTTCCAGAAAGATAATGTGTCTGATTTTGTTGACACTTTATCATCGCAATTGTTGACACAATTATAAATTTAATTTATACCTTAATTTATTTATTACACAATAATTAGAAATGATGTTAATTATTCGTATCGTATTAGAGGTAGGATTCAGTTATCTCGAGTTGGTGAAAGATGAAACATTGAATTTGATAACGATGGACGACAAAGAACGAGTAAGTCATTTTCTTAATTTTCGGGGGTTGGTGAAATTTTTGCCGGAAAACCGATGATAAATACAACCAATATTTCAAACAGATATACGAGTACGAGGGGGCGATAAGGCCCCCGGAAAAGCCGGACTTTTTTTAATTATTCCTTCGGTTCGGTGGACGATAAGGGTGAGATTCGCCCCCGGAATTTAATCAATCGATCTATATCACCTTATGCATAAAGGGGTTGAACAGATTAATGTCTTCATACGGCGAACGATTGATTGATTCCTAAATTACGTTAAACATATCCGTCTCTTTCCCTTCAAAAGCTTGTTAGCTAATAGAATTTCTCAAAGTACACGTGGGGTTAGTCAACAAAGGTGTATTTTCATGCTAATGCCATTAATATTATTCCAGATCGAGACGAGACAATAGACGAATTTAAATAATTCTATTTCAGATCAATCAATTAGTTGAAGAAGTACAAAGACTACAGAGCACGATATCCAAACTTAAAGAAACCTCGATATCGCAAATATCACGATTAGAAGACCAATTAGAACAGAAAAGACAAATTATCGTCAGGTTGGAAGCCAAACTGGACCATCAAAGGGACTACGAAGACATCAAAAGGGAATTAAGGTAACCATTTTGCAATTTCCTTCTTTCAACAACCTCTTATCTCTATTGTGCGCAGTTTCAAAACTGTTTACTAGTGATAACAAGATTCACACTCCGGATCCGAAGACTGATCCGGATTCGCGTAAATTTTGAGACTGCTTCTCTTTGGATTTATTCATTTTTTTAATTTGTAGCATTCTCAGGACGGACAATCCCGAAACCACCACCGAAAAGCCCATCAAACCCGAATCGGTCAAAACACCCACCCAAGACGTCGAAGGTAAATTTCCCCAAATTTTCCTTAATTAATCACCAACAATAGAATTCCCAAAAATATGATTAGCATAATCTAGTTGCGCACTGTAATTATTCCGGACTCCGGTTGAATTAAGTGTATTTTTAATTAGTTTAGTGTGATTATAAATTAAGATCGGTGAACCATGAAAAAAAGGAAGTCATTTATCAGACTGATGACTTGACTCGATAACAAATAATTTATATTTTTCGCGATTGTCTGTTTTTTTTTTTTTTTGAAGTAAGAGCCTTGATAGTTGTTCGATAGAAGATGGCGTAAATTGGGCGCGAAAATGACGATTTAATTCGATTTTAATAAGCGCCAATGACGAGGTATCTCGAGTAATTAACAGTAATTGTAGTATCGTTGCTCTTTAAAAAAATAATTCGATTTTAATTGAGACTTGTTTTCCACGTTTAGACTTCATTTCAGTACTCAAACTAGTGCTTTATCCCCTCCCCTGATATTCTCTCCTCTTTTCCAGGGGTTGCACAAAGTCCAGCAGTGTCACCTCTGTCCCCTCCAGCACCCCTGCCTCGTCCCTTCCAGAATGTAGAAAGCTTCGGTAGTATGTTAGGCGAAGAGATTGTGGCGAATTGGCGCCGCACCATCGAACACAACCATCTAATTTCACAATCACCCTGTATAGATGCCAAGACGCCCATCATGGGACTCCCCGATTCCACACCCGCTGAAAAATCAACAGCCTCAACACCGCAACCAGACCAACCACCGCAACCCTCGCCCGTGGAACCCATCCTCAATGGTAACCCCAAGAGTCCGGAGGACAACAACAACCATCTCAGCAACAACAACATACCCATGGCGACCATGTGTGCTGTTAATAACCTCTTCCGCGGCGAGGAGGCCCTGAAGAGCCCCTACAGGTTCGACGACCATAGGTAAACATTTGAGATATTCCACAGGGTGTCAAAAAAAGATTGTCAAGTATTTAAGGAGGTAATAGTGTGATTCAAAATAAACAAAAAAGTTCGCAAAGTTACGGTTTCGGAGATATCCAATGTGAAAATTTATAGAATTTCTACTAGAAGCTTATTTTAATAATTTATAATCTTTTTTTAACACCCTATATACACCGTTTTTATTTTCAAAAATTAAAATCGTATTAAAACTTTACTTTTATTTTGTTTTGAAGTGCCTACTGAAGTTTTTTGACAAATTTATTTATAAACTTGTATACAGAGTGAGTTTTTAATTTTACGTTTTATTGTGAAAGTAGAATATTTTTTATGTTCAATAAGTTTAAATTTGTTAGTCGGAAATCTGACCTATTTAATAAATATTATGTCAAACATTGACATTTAAGGACTGTTAATTGACAGTTGTTTTCCAAATTTTGGTAGCTACAAAAAATCAGAGATCTACCATTTTTTTTTTCTACAAAATCGTATTTTTTTTATCTCAGATTACTCTATTTTCTTCATGAAGCATTTCCGAACATAGGTTTATAGGAACTTTTTTCTTTGTTTTGATCCATACTAGTATCCCTTGAAATATTTTACAATCTTTCTTTAACACCCTGTATACAACTTTTTTATTTTTAAAAATGAAAATCGTATTAAAACTTTACTTTTATTTTGTTTTAAAGTGCCTAATAAAGTTTTTTTACAAATTTATTTATAAACATGTATTCAGGGTGGGTTTTTAATTTTACGTTTTATTTTGAAAAGAGAATTTTTTTTGTTCAATAAGTTTAAATTTGTAATGACTGTTAATTGACAGTTGATTTCCTTATTTTGGTAGCTACAAAAAATCAGAGAACTACCACTTTTTTATTTTATCTTTAGTGTTTTATTAAAAAAAACACAAGAGCGTTTATTGTACAGGTTGAAAAAAATGACACTTTAAAAATACAAATATATAATTTTTTTCTACAAAGTCGTATTTTTTTTATCTCAGATTATCTCCTTAATGAAGCATTTCTGGACGTAGGTTCATAGGAACTTTTTTCTTTGTTTTGGTCCATACTATTATCTCGTGAAATATTTTACAATCTTTTTTTACCACCTTGTATACAACTTTTTTATTTTCAAAAATTAAAATCGTATTGAAACTTTACTTTTGTTTTGTTTTGAAGTGCCTACGGAAGTTTTTTGACAAATATAAGGTGTTTTATTAAAAAAAAAACATAAAAATGTTTATTGTACTGGATGAAAAAAGATACTTTAAAACCACAAATATATATATATTTTTTTACAAAATCGTATTTTTTTTATCTCAGATTACTCTATCTCCTTTATGAAGCATTTCCGGACATAGGTTTATAGGAACTTTTTTCTTTGTTTTGGTCCATACTATTATCTCTTGAAATATTTTACAATCTTTTTTGAACCGCCTGTATAAACTTTTGTATTTTCAAAAATTAAAATCGTATTACTTTTATTTTGTTTTGAAGTGCCTACTACAAATTCATTTATAGACAAATATACAGGGCGAGTTATCTACGCATCGGGTTTTTAATTTTACGTTTTATTATGAAAGGAAAATATTTGTTATGTTCAATAAGTCTAAATTTGTTAGTCGGAAATCTGACATATTTAACAAATATTATCTTAAACATTGACATTTAATGACTGTTAATTGACAGTTGTTTACGTTATTTTGGTAGCTACAAAAAAAAACAGAGATCCACATTTTTTTTTTATTTATAGGATGTTTTATTAGAAAAACACAAAAGCTTTTATTGTACAGGATGAAAAAAAGACACTTTAAAAATACAAATATATAATTTTTTTTCTACAAAATCTTATTTTTTTATCTTAGATTACTCTATTTCCATTATGAAGCATTTCCGGACATAGGTTTATAGGAACTTTTTTCTTTGTTTTGGTCCATACTATTATCTCTTGAAATTTTACAATCTTTTTTTAACACCCTGTATACAACTTTTTAATTTTCAAAAATCAAAATCGTATTAAAACTTTACTTTTACTTTGGTTTGAAGTTCTTACTGAGGTTTTTTTACAAATTCATTTAGAAACACGTATATAGAGTGAGTCATCTAAGCATCGGGTTTTTAATTTTGAAAGAAAAATATCTTTTATGTTCAATAAGTCTAAAGTTGTCAGTCGGAAATCTGACATATTTAACAAATATTATCTTAAACATTGACATTTAATGACTGTTAATTGACAGTTGTTTTCATTATTTTGGTAGCTACAGAAACATTAGAAATCCACCACTTATCCTTTTTTGTTTATAGGATGTTTTATTAGAAAAACACAAAAGCGTTTATTATTATATTTATTGTACAGGATGAAAAAAGATACTTTAAAAATACAAATATATAATTTTTTTCTACAAAATCGTATTTCTTCCGTAAGGAAGCACTTCTGGACATACGTTCATATTGAGCCAAGGAATGACCCCTTAAAATCTTTTACGTTTTTTCCGGACACCTTGTATATTCATATACAGGGTGATTTTAATAGTTATGCCGAAATTTTAGGGGGTGATAATACAAGTCGAAAAAAGTCAAAATAACTCAACTTCCATTTTAGCGTCGGAAAATTCGTGGAAAAATTCAATGTATGTTTTTTCAGATCGCCGTTCCGGTTCGCTGAGGAGTTGGGCATGGCCCCCGGGTCGATGGTGAGCCGTTTGGGGGAGAGTCTGATCCCGAAGGGGGACCCCATGGAGGCCAAACTGCAGGAGATGTTGCGCTACAACATGGACAAATACGCGTCCCAAAACCTCGACACTTTGAACATATCTCGACGAGTCCGCGAATTGCTCTCAATCCACAACATTGGACAGCGACTCTTCGCCAAGTACATTTTGGGGCTGTCGCAGGGCACCGTCTCGGAGCTGTTGTCCAAGCCCAAACCTTGGGACAAACTCACGGAGAAAGGGAGAGACAGTTACCGAAAAATGCACGCGTGGGCTTGCGACGAACAGGCGATTCTTCTCCTCAAATCACTGATACCAAAGAAAGGTAAAATTTCAGTTCCACTGTGTGATCTCAGATCATCAATCTTTGAGATTACGCCTCGAAAAAGATTTTTATCGCTCGTTTAATTACATTCGAGAATCAATCTTAATATTAAAAAACCCACAAATAAATAATTCATTAATTAACAATTAAGCGGTTCTAGGCCATGTAGAGCCATTCGAAATGAATCATTTCCGGCCATTCAATCACACACGATCATTTTTTCGACCAATGACGAAAAATCTCATAATTTTATTGTGTCACAAACAATTTCAAAAGTCAAATATTTTATTACAAAACTATTGTTTTAATATCCCACGCATTACAAAACCTTAAAACCGTATAAATAAATCCTCTCCGTGCTCTAAAAATTCTTTAATTTCAATCTAAAATAAGCATAACTTAACAATGCGCAATTAAACTTCGGGATTATCTCGACGATCAGTGAAAAAAATTCGATTTTAGGATTACATATGTTCTACTTTTACCGAGGTTTATTGCGTATTGTTGAGGCACTTTGACACGATCTTTATCGAGGCTTGCGTCAGGTGCCCCAAATAAATGGAAATCAAGCTCAGTTTACCACAAAATCAATCAATTTTTATATTTATTGCATGTTGGAAGACGATTACGGGAGGTTTAATTGAATTAAATCGGGATTTGGAGAGGTTTCGGGCGATTTTTGTGATTTGATGTCGCGAATTTGAGGGAATCATCGATTTTTACACACGTTTTGAGGGCGATTTTTATTTATGGATAAGTGAGGTTGCAATTTGAATCAACAAGAAACACAAAAATAACAGAAATTGTGTTAAAAATAAGTGATGAAGTACACAAAAAGAATCAAAAATAGAACTTCAAAAATGAAAAAAATTTGTATAGCGTATTTTGTTTTTTCCAACTTGTTAGAGTTAAAATTGGGTGAGAAAAAAGTATAGAACCAATCGTTTTTTGCTTAAACTATTTATTTTTTTCAAAAAACTAATTGATGA